GGGGCTTGCAAAGTCCGCACGTTGTTGGCGGAGAAGTCCTGGAACCCGGCCGTAGTGCGCCCAATTCCCCGAGGACGACCTGCTTGGCCTCCGAATATAGTACCTCGTACGTTTCGTGGGATTGTCCAAGATACGCGGGAGAGTTGACGATGACAGGATTCGCAGCCCCCCTGGCTGGCGAATGAGAAGCGGCGGGTTGCACCAGAGGTTTTACGGGCTACCAGGGTGCGTTAGGCCGACGCTCCGCTCCGAGAGACGGAATCGAAAAGACCGCCTGCTGCAAAACACCGAGCGAGAGGCAGCAGCCGTGGTGAGCAAGCCCTGCAGGTGGGTTTATGCCGTATCTCGGCCGGTTCTCGTAATGTTTTGTTTCCATTGGCGGAGTGTCAGTGTGTGGCTTCTCTGGAATTGTTCTCCGCAGGTTCTCCACGGCTCATGCGGCGGCCCCCGGGAAGAAAAGTCACGACGCCGGCTGATATGAGGCCGTGGCGGAGGACCGACGAGCACGAAGGCCACGAGCGGCTTAAGCCTATCCCGGCGTTGTTCGCCGTCTGGTTCGTCCCTTTTCCGACAGCAGTAAAAAAAAGTGTGGGAGGTCAACAACAAGCTGCTGACCAAATTGAGTGCTGACGTGATGGGCATAGATGAAAAGCCCGGCGCACAGGAGTGAGGGTCAGCCCACAATTAATTTGGCGTGGGAAGATGTCAATGATAAAACGGCGATCTGCGTATTCTCCTATGCCGGTGGGAGGGTTTGCTGGCCCCGTCGCTCGGCGGGGGTTCGACAGGAACGCCGGACAGATTTTCAGCTCCGGAACGGAGTGGGGCTGGCTGGTGTTCTCGGGGAATTCGAGACTGGACCACGGCGAAAGGCCGCCGGCCTGCCGCGGGCGGCCGAATGTGACGAAGTAGAAGAAAAAGACGCCAGCCAAGGAATTTTCTTGCTGATTTCAGATATAGATCGTCGGGTTCATGAATCGAGACCAAACACTTTCCGCTGTGTCAGCGGCCATCGTCTTGTTAGAGTGAAGGTATCGCCAGCAGGCGGGATCTTTATTGTGGCTTGGTGGATGGGAACGAGGTGATCTATCTGCCCCCCTGGCTTTTGATACCGCCAGATAGGATGGTAAGGATACTGTCCACAAGAGGAACTATTCAAAACAAGTCCTGCGTTTCAGGCAAACATTCAGCCAAGCAGACAGCATACACTACTCTACCTGTTTTACTCCGTTTATTGTTCCTATCATACTCGTCACACCTGCCGTCTCTAACCCAAGAGAAGGAAAATTCTTTCCGAATACACTTCAAGTATGATGGCTTCCAAAGCAAACAGCCGAGTAACGAAACCAAATTGTAAGGTGCTTCAGTACACCTCAGTGTAATGGCGCTGCCAGCCCCACCGCGGGGTAGCGCAATGGCGGGGTGAATTACTCGGCCAGCTCAATTGGGCAACCATCTCCCTCCTCCCACTCAACTTTTTGGCACGCGAGAAACACAACACATCCGCGACAGCTTCAGAAACACGTCCATCCACACCGACACAAGCCCATTGCCGGCCTTCACCCTCGATCTACCGTCACTACGCCCTTCTAAGAGGCCACACCACACACCATGGCCGACGTCAAGGCAAAGGCTGAGGCCTTGGTCCCCAAATTCAAGCTCGACCGCGTCCTCAACCAAGGTAAACCGCCCACACCGTCTCCCATCTCTCACCTCGTCGATTGCTAACACACCACCCACAAACAGACCAAGCAGGCCGCCGCACCTCCCTCCTCGGCACCATCGACGCCCAGCCCGCCCTCCTGATCCTCGAACGCGCCCCCTTCCCGACCGACCCGTCCTACCTCGGCGCAACCCCGACGACCCTCTCCTCCATCGCGAACCTCGGCGCAAACGACGTCTACCACTGGTACCTCGCCAACACAGGCGGCAGCTCCTCTTCCACGTCGTCACCCGACCCTTCCCTCGCCGACCTCAAGATCAACCTCATCTACCCCTGCACCGAGACGCACGTCAAAAAGTACAGCAAGCAGGGCGTCCGCCTCGTCACCGAGACGCCGCACATCTACGCCTCCGCCGTGCGGCCCTTCATGCAGCGCAAGCGCGACGAGGGCCGCCTCAACTGGGTCTTCAACATCATCGAGGGCCGCACCGAGGTCGAGGACGTAATATACCGCACGGAGCTGGGCGCCTCGCAGAACGACGAGGGCTTCCTGCTGCTGCCGGACCTCAACTGGGACCGCAAGACCATCGACGCGCTGCACCTGCTCGCGCTCGTCGAGCGCCGCGACATCTGGTCCCTGCGCGACCTGCGCCGCAAGCACATCCCCTGGCTGCGGCACATGAAGGCCAAGCTGCTCTCGGCGGCGGTCATGAAGTACCCCGAGGTCGAGCCGGACCAGCTGAAGCTCTACGTGCACTATCAGCCTACGTACTACCACTTCCACATCCACATCGTGCACGTGCAGCTCGAGGCGGGTGCGACGCAGGCCGTGGGCAAGGCCGTCGGGCTCGACAGCATCACGGAGACGCTCGAGGCCATGGGGGGCGACGAGGAGGCGGGCATGGAACAGATTTCTCTTAGCTATACACTAGGGGAGGCAAGCGAACTATGGACAGAGGTGTACGAGCCGCTCAAGCGGAGCGGTGCAGCTTCTCAATAGCGATGACGAGGTCGTTGACGCCCGAGCCGTGGGGGCAGTCCTTCCATTCTCCGCCGTCGCGGATGCAGTAGATTTCGTTGTCGAGGCGCACGGTACAGCTCTTGGTAACGCCGGCCTGGATTTTCTCGTTGTCAGTATCCGTCTTGCACGAAAGAGGCTGCGGGATGGACAGTTTCTCGGGGTAAATCTTACGTCCTTGCTCCTTCGCACGCTGTCGCGCAGCATGCCCAGGCCCAAGGCACCGTCGTCCTGGGTCGCGCAGTCGTTCAACTCTTTGATGTCAATAGCATGTTCCAGAGCGCAGTCCTCCACCAGCGAGCGCTCGGGGATGGCCTGGTACTCGCGGGTCAAACACATGGTGAAGCCGAGGTTGATCTTGGGGTCGGGGTAGAGGTGTGCGGCGCAAAGCTCGATGATGTTTCCCATGCCTACAGAGAAGTTCGTTAGAGCATGTTCATAGAAGAAGCCGGGCATATAGACTAGACGTTACATTCAGACGGGCCGTGCTTGCAGTCGATTCCATCGTTCTCGGTCGGGGTTCCAATGTAGGACAGGGTGAAGTTGACCTTTTGGTAGGTCTTCATCATGGTCGGGAGGACCAGGTCCCTCAAGCAATCCTGCGCCGCCGCCGTCAGCACCCTATCTCCAGACTTGCCAATAGCCAGCTGCGACCACTCACCCTCGCATCAGGGCATTTGCTCATGATGTGCGCCTCCAACGGCACCAGCTTGGCGTTCTGCTCGACTACGGGAGCCTGCTGGGGAATGAAGCGCGCGTGGGGGATCGCCGGCTGTCCCACTACGTAGCCCCAGAAGCCGTAGAAGAAGACGAGGACCACGAGGGCAGCAGGCCAGAGGTTCTTCCTCCGGACGAGCCGTCCAGACATGTTTGGCGGTGGTGGTGCGTTGGCGTTGGTGGTGTAGTAGGCCTGCTTCTCGTCCATGGCGGATATCGTACTCGGGGGGATTTTTGTTATCGAAATCGTATTGGGGGCGAGGCTCGCGTCGGGCTTTATTTTCGGCGTTTCGTGTTGATGAATCGTTCGTGGTATTAAGGCAGTCGAGAGTGAGATGTTTTGGAGAAGCTCTGAATGACTCCTCAGATACGGGATCTGGTGACGAAATGGAATGCAAGCTTGCTTAGAAACAAAAAAGCTACTTGCGTCAAGTCCCCTCCCCGATCGGAGGAGCAGAGAGTTTGGGTTGTTGTCGCGAGGGGGCCCCGTTGGAATTGCGACAGCCGTGCAGCGAGCACGGCAGCGGCACCTCAGGCCAAACAGCGACGTTGGAGAGCATGTCAGTGCTAGCTGGATGGGGAAAGGGTGCATTGCACTACGACGATACCTTGTATTACGTGAGACTCCCGCGTTGGAAGATGTACCTCCTTACTGAGCAGGTGAGGTGCTGCTTCTCCAAGTGGCCAAAGCTCCATTTCAGCAGCAACGACGGGCAACAGCGGGGAACCTGTCCCCTGGAGGCTTATCTTATCGGCTGCTAGGCACCTTACCTTAGCAGTCTTAGGTAAGGCAAGGTGCCTCTTCGTACTGTTGTTGCATTCGGCGAGGAAGCTGTGGTCCAGTACCTGATGCAACAGTGCGAATCTGGGTTTCTCTGGGCGATGTTCACCGTACGGCGGCAGGGATTCGAGGTTTGCACCCTTCCATCTGATGTCCAAGTCGAGAGATATCTCCAAGACCTGAGTCGATGTTGACCATCTGCAATTACTCTGAAAAGAAAAGCTATCGGCCAGCAGCAAGAGTCATGCAATTGCAAACGTCAGCGAATCACCTTACATAAGAAAGACATACACAGTAGCCTCGTCAGCAAGACACAGTACACAGTGGACATTCATCCACTTTCCCTCGCTCCTCACCTCCACGCACGACGGAGAAGAGAGCAGCAGCAGCGCATCACGGCCGAGTGTAACGTGCCCCTACTATTACATGCAAACGGGGGCCAAAAAATCCCCATCGCTACTTATTCTTCATCTAACAACTTGATTGAAACCTCCTTTTCTATTGTTCCTCCGTTTCAGAAACAATTTCCAGTGACCAGAAAGAAGCTTCCTTTTCCAAAACACGCAACCGCTAGACCACCTGGCTGGCCCTCAGACGTTGATAATCCACACACTTCCGCACCAGACCACACCAGGAAACACCCACCCGAGGTGTGAGACCCGGGAAGACTAAGGCGAGGAAACAGCAGAAACGCCTCATTGCCTCCCGCATCCCGCCTAACCGCCTGACCTGACCTCAACCTGGACAACACCAACACCACTCACCAACGTAGCCATAGTACCCCGTTCGATTGACCACAAACGCACGCAAACAACGCAAACATGGATCCCGGCTCTGCGCTGCAGGACTTCCTGCAGCCGCTCCGGGTCGACAACCAGACAGTCCACACACTGTCCCGCCTGTTTTACTCCAATTTCAAAGACCTCGCCCTCAACGCCCACGATCAATTCCTCCCGACGCCCATTTCCGAATCAATTCTGAGACCCGTAACCCAGCGTGGTCATGGAAGGTGTGTCCATGTCTTGCCGTCCCCTTGTGACGTCTCCCATGTCTTCATCATGTAGCACCATGTTGGGCCGTTGGAACGTATCACACAACCGTTTACCGACGTCTTCCAAAGTTTCACCAAACGCTGACATGGGACGACAGACACCTTGCCATAGACATGTACGTCCTCACTACCCTGCTGCAGCAGCATCATCACTCATCAAGAGCATCCCCCAAAACTCCCGTTTGGACGTAACTAAGCTAATCCTCCCCAGCGGCGGCACAAATTTGAGAGTGGGCTTCATCGAACTCTCTGGCGCAGAAACACCATCAACTACCGCCAACTCCACACAGACGAACGAGACCTCGTCAACTCCAACCCTGAACCTCAAAGAGCAGGCATGGCCCATAGACAACGCCCTCAAAGCCTCGTCAAATTCAGACCCTCAGCTTCTCTTCGACTGGATTGGTTCCTGCATCGCAACAGTGGTCCGCTCCGCCCTCGAGGAATGGCCCTCTCTCGCGGCGGAACCTGAGCTGCCGCTCGGCATCACCTTCAGCTTCCCAATGGTCCAGCACTCCATCTCCGACGCCACCGTCATGACAATGGGCAAAGGCTTTAGCATACAGGGCGATGCAGAGCTCGGCCCCTTACTCCTGCGAGGCTACGACAAAGCCCGTAGTGCGGCTGTTGACGTCCAACTACCACCAATCCGCATCGCCGCAATCTCAAACGACTCGGTCTCAACACTCATCTCATACATCTTCCTTTCCCCGCCAACGACAAAGGCCTCTATGGGCCTCATCGTCGGCACTGGCTGCAACGCCACCATTCCGCTGAAACTCTCCCTCCTCGGCGGCTCCAAACAGCCCGCAAACATTAGCCTCCTTCCTGGCGAATCGGCAAGCGACGTACGCATCGCCGTGAATACGGAATGGTCTATCCGCGGTACCGCACCCCCTCTGCGTGAACTGAAGCTCATCACCACCTGGGACTCTGCACTGGACGCAGCCCTGGTAGGCCCCAATGAGATCACTGGCTTCCAACCTTTGGAATACATGACGGCAGGCCGGTATCTGGGCGAACTGGGACGTCTGATGCTTTTAGACTACCTCAAGACCGTTTTAGGAGTCAACGAGGACTCCCTCCCATCACGTCTCCTCGTCAGATACGGTCTCACCACCACGTTCCTAAGCCACTTCAAGCCCCTACACTCCCCAGCTCTTCTCCCGAAAGTGGAGTCAGAATTCCCACCTGACTCCTCTTCACCATTCAAATGGACGGAAGAAATGGCAACAGCCCTCTACCACATTGCCAAAGCAATTGAGCTCCGCGCCGCAGGCATCGTTTCTGCGGCAACCGTCGCTCTCCTCAGGCTCGCCGGGGACCTTCCCTCGGACGACACGCCTTCCAAAGCCCCGGAGCTGGGCGTTGGATACACGGGCGGCTGCATCTCGCAGTTCCAGGACTACCTCGCCGACACGCAGATGTTCCTCGACGAGATAATGAAGCTAGACTACGATGGCAAGTTGCCCACTAGGGTTGTACTGAGTCCCTGTCACGACGGTGGCATCAAAGGCGCAGGTATCCTGGCGGCTGCGACGTGTGTCAGTCAGAAGCATGATATGTAAAGTTCAGGAGAAAACAATTACGGAGAAACGGGCGAGTCCAGTCAGCATCATTATGCGTTCGAATGATTGGTTCCAAGGATACATTATACAGTACAGCATACAGGAGACGGGCCTGAGGAGGAGAGAGTCACATTTGCTTCATTATAAAACTAGCAGACTCGGTAGTGGCCCACTTAAGTCTATCAATATCAAAGGCACATACACACACATACATCCCAAGAAGTCATGATTGCAACGTTGCAGTGAAGAAAAGAGGAGAGGTGAAGGAATTGTATTCAAAATGACAAATCGCCAACTGTTTCGCTTTGGATATTTGAACCCGGGAGAATCTCCGTGCTGAATGAGAAACCACACCAACGTCGTCAAACCTCGCCGCCCGCCCAATCAGCCATCCCACTACAACCACCGAGTAAACAAGAATAAATGACTTTGTAAAACTCCTCGTCATTAAGCTCGATTCTTTCCAATCATCGTGAAAGAGATGAAAAAGATAAAATGGCAAAGGAAATCCTTTCTCTCACTCTCCGGCATGCCATAGTAGATTTTCCCGACATTGCACACACTCACACACACACACACACACACACACACACACGCATATACAACTACCCGCCGCCTTCGCATGAATAACTCAAGTACAACCACCCCCCCTCCCCCCCGGCCCCCCAACCACCCTCTTTGCAATGCAACTGAAGCGATGGTGATGAAGCAGACGCTATGCTATGCACGTGTTTTCGATTTTTGTTTTGGATGTCGTCAGGAAGGGGGGACTCTCGTTCGGTCCCCCCCACAGCTCAGATGGTACTCCCCTCTCCAATGCTTTTGGTCCCAATGCTCCCCCTTCTCTCTTCCCCGTTGAGGCCGTGTCAGTCATGAAAATAAGGAATGCTTGCGCAAGCGGCGGTAAAAAAAGGAAGAAAGGGGCCTTTAGTAAGCTGTCGGTCCTCGCATTGCCCTTGTAGATCGGAAATTCAGCCGCGGAGGCGGTACGTCGTCAACAATGCCCTCATCAACATCGGCCTCGATAGGCGATTCGTCAGCCACGAGTGGCGCCGACATGTCCACCTCGACAGCCCTGGTCACCGGCGTCCTGGAACTGGACTCGGCCTCAAGCCTCGCGTCAACCTCGAGCGTCCTGGGAGTTATTGGCGGATTGCTGTCCTTGGCGGGCGTGAGCTCCCGCCGCATGCTCGTAGGTCGAAGAGTCCGCACCTTGTTGGGCTCGCTGGTCACCCTCAGCAAATCAGGCTCCTCCTTCTCTATGCGATCCATCTCTTTGACCGCCAACTCCTTGGTCTCTATCAGACGTCTCTGTATGTTGGCAATCTCCTCCCTGCAGTGCGCGTCACGGAGGAACTGATGAGCAGCGTGCTCGGCCGTGCCTTGCACATACTCCAGATGCTTGTCGAGCTCGTCGTAAACGTCTGGTACGTTGCTACCCATCCCGCCGGCCTGGCCGGCTCGTGTATATGATGGTCCGGGTCCGCCTCGTCTGCCAGCGCCCATTCGTCGTGCGCTCATGTACCGCAGAGATGGCAAGGCCTCATCAACTGGGGCGGCAGCCAAGGACGCGTTCGTATCAGCCTTCATGGATCCATCTCCAGCATCGTCATCTTCGTCTCCGTGCTCAAGCTCCGCCATGCGACGGATGCTTGCAACCTTGGCCGCCATCTTGGCCTTGCGCATCATGTTCCTGCTTGCCGACACGAACTTGACCAGATCTTCAAAGAACTTCTCCACAAATTCGTCGTAGAAGACAGTCACTTGTGTCTTGCTGCGGTATCTTGACTGGTTGTCTTCACCAGACATGACGGACGCGGTCCGAACGCGCTTCTTCACCTCTGCTCTAGCATATGCTTGCGCCTGGGTAAAGGCGTTCTGCGTCTGCTGCTGTAGAGCCGACGGTGTTTCGCTGCTGGGGGTGGACGGGTTCGCCGCTGTCTTTTCTTTATCTTGGGGCGCTGACGCGACTTCGGGCGTATCTGACTTGGTCGCGGGCGTCTCATCGACGGGAGCAGGAGTGGCATCGGCGTATTCGTCCTTTTGCTTCAGTGATTCGGTAGATCCACGGTTGCGAAGAGGCTTCACGGTGTTTTCGCTAGCCAATGCGGCGAGCTGGGCCTGGCGCTGGACAATCTGGTCGCCCATCTTGTCGAGCTGGGAGACCCAGTCGGGCACATTGTTGATGACGTTCTTGAGGGCGTCCATGATCAAAACCCCCTGGTCTTCTTCGTGTCGAAATCTGGCCGTCGTGACTGATTTGGGAGACGTTAGGTGTTCTTGGACAGCCTAACGTCTTGATGCGGGGAGAGAGTAGATGAAATCGATTGAGGTTGGTTGCAGAGGTAGCAGCGACAGCAACCAGTTCTGAGGGGGTTGTTCGGTGGAAGATGGGGCGACGATCGGCGCTGCAGACCTGAGGACGGGGAAGGCGAAAAAAAAAAAAAGAGGAGGAGATCGGCGCAGTTATGGGTGAAGCATGGTCCGCCAGCAAGCGAGGTTGGCGTGTCTCTCGTTGAGGGGTCGTACCGCAGTTGGAGGCAAGCGAAAGGGTCGATAATCGTGCGTCACGTCCAACGTGATGTGATGGCAGAGCGTCAAGACGGGTGAAGACGCTTACCTGCTCACGCTTGGGTCCGGGCGGGAGTCTGATATAACTAGCGGCGGCGTTTTGTGCCGGCAGAGAGGCTCGAGAAAGATGTTGGGCAGAGAGCAACCTTCGAGGCGTCGGGAACAAAAAAAGCCGTAAATTGGGCGAGGGCGATCGGCCGCTAAAAAGACGACTTGAGATCTGCGCGGGAGAGAAACCAGGCTTTAGACTGGATTTTGTGGGCAGGTGGGAAGGGAAAAGTAAGATATAGATGGAACGGAGAGATCAATCGATGAACAGCGGCAGACCGGGACCATGTAAAGAAATAGGGCCCCCTAGTACTCTGTATATCGGTACGGCGTGGTGAGGGCGGCGGCGGCGGCGGCGGTACCTTAAGATGGATGAGGAGGCGGATGGGGCCTTGTGGGTGTGCCGTTTGGTGTATGCTTGGCGTCAAAGTTGGGGGTCAATGGCACTAAGTGAAGCCGCTAATGCTGGGGGGAGGAGAAGTGACGAGGAGGATGTCAACGACGAGTGGTCAAGGAAGAGAGGATGGTAGTCGAAGCGTGTTATGCTGCTTCTCGGATCGAGTCGGCTGGTGGGCACAAGGGCGGGTATACGAGATGCCGAGTCCAAGAGCAAGTTGTAGTGTCGTCGGGGAGAGGCGCGTTTGGTTTGCTGGGTGTGATGAGGGGAGCAGAGTAGAGAGAGATAGCGCCTACACACAAACACGTCTGGGGGAGAGTGGAAGGAGGAAGAGGAGGAGGAGGAGGGTGTGCGAGAGCAGGAGGAGTAGCGGTTATGAGAGAGAAGTTGTGCAAGGTGAGAGAGAGAGCGGTGGGGGTTGGACAAGACGAGGATGAATAGGCCGGGGAGGGGAGAGAGTGAGAAGACTGAGAAGACTGAGAAGACTGAGAAGGCCAATGGCACAAGGCGGGCAGGCACAAAAGGACTGGACTTGCGAATGGGCGGATGCGAGCAGCAGATGGGCAGGTACTGCGAGGTATCAGGTGTAGGGGCGCTTGTGTGTGTGAGGTGCAGACGTGGATGCAGATGCAGACGCAGGCGCAGATGCAGATGCAGCAACAGAGATGCAGCCAGAGCAGAGCAGAGCAGAGCAGCAGAGAGGAGAAGGACGGGGAGTGCAGCAGTCGGTGGTGGGAAATCGCAAATACAGGGTAAGGTAGCCAATCCACCCACTCTGCTGCTGTTCTTTCTTGTTGGAGCGTGAGGGGGATGGTCCGGATGGAGAACGGTGGTGGAAGGGCCTGCTCCAAAGTGCGAGCAGGGGTTGGCTGGTCCGTTGCTCTGCAAATCTGCAAAGAGAGGCGGACGGGGGACGGGGACGGACGGCGACGAGGACGAGGGCAGCAAGACGCCGATGGTGGATGCTTGTTGGAGAGTGATGGTGGTGGAGGAAGAAGATGTGAACAGGGGACAGGGACACGCCCGTGGTGTGGTGTGTGGTGTGTGGAGGGGGAGAAGAGGGAGAAGAAGGGGAGGAAGAAAAAGAAGGAGAAGGTGTTTGGTAGGTAAGGTACGTACCGATATGTTTTCCTTCCGCAAAAAGACGGCAGGCGGGGCACCGCACCGGGGGGAGGTGGCAGCCACGGCAGGTGCAGCGACATGGCATGGTGAGGTGAGGACACTGGACTGAGGAAAGAGGAGCGGATGGAAAAGAGGGGAGAGCTCGCACTCAGCGTTCCATTCCATTGCCCACTGCGGGAGGGAAGCCGCTGTGGACAGGTGACAGACAGGACAGGACATCGTCTTCGTCCACCGTCGTCTAGTTAATTACCTTACAGTAGGCCCATGCCTTGAGCGTCCCTTATTCCATTCCATGTCGTTGCCAACCTGGAACCTCACAGTGAGAGGAAGGCAAAATGGGGGACCTTACCTAAGGGGGTACCTTCCCAGGATACCTTACCTAAGGTGGTGGAGGAAGGAACATTGGAAGGATTGGAAGGTGCCTTCCTATGGGTCATGATACCTACTTACCTAAGGTCAGGTACACTCACTGGTAGATGGATGAATTGGAAAGAGGTTCCAACAGTCACCCGTCCGTGTTCTTTCTGTCTCAATTGCTCAATTGTCGAATGGAAGGAAGGAGGAGATGATGCAGGCCAACCACCTAGGTACTTAGGTAGGTACAAACAAGGATCCGCGTGCACCTTCCAGAGAACACCTCGCTTTCGTAGCAATCAATCCCGTGTGTACATAGTATTTCTCCGTCCCATTTCTCTCTCTGCTCTGCATCTCTTTCTTTTTGTGCACTCGAAATGGCGCGGAGATTCCTACACCCACCGCGGTACCTTACCTTCCCTCTACCTAAGGTACCTTACCTTACGGAAGGTAAGTAGAACAGGCACTTGACACACCGGCCGCTAAAATCTCTCCCGCTAGAACCCGCCCGCGTACCTTGTGTCTCTACCTTACGCCGTGCGCTAGGCATGTCTGATAGTGGGGGAGAAAGGCACATCGTCAATCATCAATCATCAATCATCCATCACTCATCGCCAGATCTCCAAAGGGCACTCTATCCACCTGCAGCCCACAACGACGATCTCCAGTTGCTTTTCTCCCGTTGTAACGCTGGAAGGGAACTGAAGCTCCCACCGGGTCCAGCACGTTTGATCGTTTTCTTCGCCATGCCGAACCGCCCATTGCCTTGTCTTTTCGACAGTCAGCAGCATCCTTCGTCTCGTCCCTTCTTCCACCTTTTGAGCCCAGCCACATCCAATTTGTGGAGGTTTACGCCACACTATGAAAATTCTGTTTATACTTTGATAGATGCCTACTATGCATCGTGATGCTGTTTATGATAACCTGGAAAGCTTCGATCCAGGTTCGCAAGAATATTGTCAATAACCTCAATGGCCTGCAGATGACTCACTGTATGAGATTATATAGGAGGAAGAACATGGGTCTGTTCTTCCTCTACCCATCAACCATCCCTGACAAGATCAACTCATCATGTCCAAACCCACATTGACCAGAATGCTCGTCACAAGAAGCACAGCAATAGCTGTGGTCCTTCCCAACTACTGAAAGCGGGAAGGGAGAAGCGAAGAGGGAAAGGGGGTGGCTGCAAGGGTAGCCTGCGTGCTGGCAGAGTTTCCAAAAAGTACACTTTAATACACCATGTCACTTCACAGTGATTCGTCTCGTCCCTTCTTTTTCTTCCCGGGCAGCATCGCCCCCGGCCAAACACAACGTTGCGTACTCCGTAACGCACCTTATCTTGACCCCTTCATCAACTCGCCGATCCAGCTACAGCAAGCAGCACAATGCCCGACGCACATCCAACACACCGTTTGCACTACCTACCTCATGGTTTGCGGCCTGCCTGCCCTGCAGTACTGCGTACAGCCAGACCGACTGCATAGCACGTACGTACATAGGATGCGGTTTGCACTTATGCAAGTGCGGCGCAACAACATGGTGGCAGAGCCAGAAAGACGCCTCCCCCACCAACCCAACCGCCATCTACGATCCAGCCTTGGACGATGAATGCCATGTACCCATACGTCAACCAGCCCTCCTTCTCACTTACGGCCGTTATGTGCCCTACGTTGGCTGTCTTGGCTTTGCCTGAAGCCCTAACCTCCGCAGCAACATGGACACACGACATTTTGCTGTCTGTGCGGCCACCGGCTGCAGGCATTAGATTGGTCCGCATGGTCAAAGACTTTCCGATCCGGACGGTTGATGCCATCGTCGGTCGGCTCTCGGGCGTCACCTCACTTCGTCTCCAGACTCGCTGCAACCCGAAATCTCCAAACTTGAACCTACCTCCTCCACCAGTCAATCCACCGAGGTGCTTCACATTGGGCATGTGAGCCTCAAGCTCCCCATCCCGACATGACAGCGCTAGACAGAGACAATAATGAGGGCTGCCCCGAGACTTGGTCTCATCACAAAGCGAGCCGTCCATTTTTTTTTTTTTTTTTAATTTTTTTTTCTGCTCATCTTCGCCCACGGTACACGAACCTTCGACATCGCTCGGACGAAAAGGGCAAATGCAGTCCAGTCCAGCCTAGCCGTCACCGCCCCCGGGCCTGCCTTAAGCTGGCTCCGCCCGTCGGACGTAGCTCCGACTCGCGCCGCCGTCTCCGCCGCTATTCTGCACAGTCAACACCGCTAGAGAGCCCTTGTCCTGTCTGTGCTTAAACTGTCTTATTGACGGCGCCAACAGAGGTGACTCCAGGCAGGCCTACGAATGCCAGTGGTTGGCATACGATCGACACTCGCAACTGCTGAACTGCTAAACCCAGAGCAGCTTCTCTGAGCTACTACGACAACTACGACTACGGCGGCTACCGCGACCGCCAGCGGCATGAATGCCGCTGGCCGAGCGTTCGGCAGTGTCAATGTCCATCCATATTGACGGCCGGCCGGCTTGATTGGCATGCGGCTACGACGCCCAAATGCCGTCACGGCAGTCCTGAAAGGAGAAGAACAACAAAATCACGATGCGAGGCCAAGGGTCACACCATCCTAGGCCAGCACCGACTACGGTTCGAAACCAAACCAAACACACAGCACCGCCGACCCTCGAGGGTTTCGAATGGCTTGTCGATTGTGGCCTTCCTTTTCCTCCCTTGCCGACAAGGCCTGC